CCCCCCAGCCCCCGGAGCCGCCCCGCCTGGACACCGCGGGCCCCGGGGACGGCGCGCTCACAGGTAACGCCGGTGGCACCGGGCCGGCGGGAGGGGGCTCTCAGGAGGGTCCCCAGGAGGGGGACGATGGCCCTGCGAGGGCAGGACTGTGCCCTGGAAGGTGGTGACGTCCCCRGGAAGGTGGCACCCTCCCCGGAACGGTGGAACTGTCCTTTGAAAGGCAAAACTGCCCCGAAAGGTGACAGCATTCCCCAGGGAGGTGGCAATGTCCCTGGAAAGGCAGAACTGTCCCTAGGGAGTTGGTGATGTCCCAGGAAAGTGACTTTATCCCACGCAAGGTAGAACTGGCCTCAGCGAAGTGGTGCTGGCCCAGGTGGTGCCACCATCCCCCTGAGGGTGGCCAAGTACTCAGGAAGGTGGTGATACCCCTGCAAAAGTGTAACTGTCCCCAGGATGGGAGTGATAAGCCCAGGAAGGTGGCARTGCCGTCGGGAAGTTGGCTATGTCCCTTGGAAGGTGGCAATGTCACTAGGAGTGTGACATCTCTGGGGAGCCCCAGGAGCTGCTGTGCCCTCCCCAGCCCTGGGTGCTGTTGGTGCTGTATCCCCCCGGGTCCCTGCCCTGCTGGAGGGGTGGCCAGGGGATGCTTTGAAGTGCCAGGTGGGACCAGCGGACACAGAGGCTGGCAGAGTGTCCCACTGTCTGTCACACAGGGCCCAGCAGGGCAAAGAGTTGTGTCCCCTGTGTGCCCATCTTACCTGCAAGAGTGGGACAGTGCAGGTGCAGCGAGCCCCGGGCACCCTGTGGGGTGAGACACCGTGTCCCCAGGGCTGCCACCTGCCTTTGGTGACACTGGCATTGGTGTGGCTCTGCCAATGCATTGCTGTGGGCCTGGCATGGCACCCTGGCATGGATGCAGCCCTGACATCACACCCTGGCATCACTCCTGGCCCAGGTGCAGCTCTCCTGTCCCAGTGTGGGACAACCATGTCCCTGAGCAATGTCCCTGAGCCATGTCCCCGAGCCATGTCCCTGAGCAATGTCCCTGAGCAATGTCTCTGAGCAATGTCCCTGAGCTGGGCAGGTGTGGCAGAGGTGCTTTTCCTACCTGGGGGGTTGCTCTGCTCTCAGCAAGGGACASAGTGACATGGCCTGCCTGTGATCACTGTCACTTCACACATGCGGTGGGTCCCTTGGGCGAGGGGACAGCGGTGTCACCCGCACTCGGTGGGACAGAGCATCGTGGGACTCCCACAGACAGCATGTGGGGACAGCTGGTGTCCCAGCCCTGGCTCGGGTGGGGTGACACAGAGCAGAGGGGGTGGTCACAGCCCTGGTGGTGGCACTRACACGGTGCCGGCCCCGGTGGGTGTCCCCATGGCTGTGCCGTCCCGCAGGTCTGCTCCGTTTTGAGGTCCCCTCCCTGCACGTGTCCCCGGACGCCGCCCTGTGCCGGGAGCCGCCGGAGGCAGCGCAGAGACTCTCGGGGCCGAGCCTGACCCCGACCCCGCGGCATGAGGAGGAGGAGGAATCGGAGAGCACAGCCCTATGACAGTGTCCCTGTCCCCAAGCTCATCCGTGCGGCACCCGGGGCCAGCACAGGCCACCGGCACCGAGGGCCASGGGCCAGTTTTGGGTTGGCAAAGTGCCCGGTTTGGGGGTGGTTGCTGTTCTTTAGTTCATTTTTGTTCGCCTTATCCAGACTTTGCCTTTGAACCGGGTGCCTGCACCCCCCGCCCCGCAGCACCCACGACCCTGGGGCGATGCCACCGCGTCCTCCGTGCCCCGAGGCGGGTGCCACTGGGTGCTGGCCAGGTGACGAGGAGCTCGCCGGCGCTTTGCAGTGGGATTTCCTTTCTTTGGCTTCTTCTGCCTCTGCRTTTTTGGGAGCAGGATGCGACCTGACCAGCAATAACCTGGAGATGCAGGATGTGCCCCCCCAGCTCCCAGGGTGYTGGTGGGGGAGGTGCACGTCCCTCGGCACCCGCTGTCCCCGGGGCTTGGTGTCTTTGGTCGTGCATGCACAGACAAATTAACCTTTTATCCTTTCCAGAGAGAGAAGATCTATATATATATATCGGCAGATATATATATATCTATATATTATATATTTGTATAGARAGAGAGAAACTATAGAGAGATCTGTTTTATTTGGAGCCATTCCCGCCCGGCCGGTGCGAGAGGGAAGATGGAAATGGCAGCGCTTCACCCCCACCTCGCTCGTGCCGTGCCCCCCGCCCCAGGTGGGCACCGGGGGGCACCAGCACCYCAAAGCAATCAATAAATCCAATAAATCCGTGTGCCACTTGCTGAGAACTGCCCGGCGGCGCTGGCCTTTGCTTCCTGCCCCAGCCTCGGGGGGAGGCTTTGGGGGTGGAGAGGGTTTGGGTGATAAAATGATGGTTTGGTGTTTTATATGGGCTGTCAGGGGTCTGGTCCCATGGGATGGGGCAGCATCAGGCATGGGGGTCACTCACAGTGGGGCTCCCCCMCTCTCCCTGCTGCAGTCGTGTGGTGCAGAGCAGCGGGGGGGGGTCCTGTCCTTGTCACTGCCAACACCCATGGGTGCCCCAGGGAACCTGCCACACCCAGGGCTGCCGAGTGCTTGGGTTACAACATGAATGACAAACCCACGTTAGTCCCCTGCTGCAAGCAGGGCCACAGCCACGGCGGCAGCGGTGACACAGCAAGGGCCTGGACCTAGAGCAGCCTCCCGCGAGGGACAGCCTCTCCTTCACCTTCCTCCTCCTCAGCTTTGACCCAGGCCTGTTCCACCACTTCCATCTCTTTCCATCTCTGTTTCCATCTCCTCCGTCACTTCCACTTCCCCCACTTCCACCTTCACCTTCTCCACTCCCACCCCAATCCCACCCCCTCCACCTGCATCTCTACCCCGATCCCATCTCCATGTCCACCAGCTCCCCTTTCCTGCTCCGCCCTTGTGTCCATCTCCCCCATCTCCACCTGGTCCCGCCTCCTTCGCCTCCATCCCTCGCTGTGGCTGCAGCAGCTTTCTCCAGACATCCCGCCCGTGCCTTGGGCTCAGCTCCGGGACTGCGGCACCCCTACTGCTGCCACCCCTGTCCCAGAGCTCCCCAGCCACAGCCACCACACGGGACAGGGTCTGGCCAGGACTGACCCCGGGCTGACCCCTGATCCCAGGCTGATCGCACTGGCAGTGCCACCATCCCCGTGGAGCACAGAGCCCTTTTCCCCTTGGACACGCCCCCTGCGATGGACACTGRGCTTGTTTCACGTGTCTTTAATAGAAACCGCCGGCGGTGGGGCAGRGCCCCGTACAAAAGCTGGCTGCAGGAATCGGGGATTGCATAGACCGAGGTGTGAGGGACCCCCCCACCCCCAAATAGTCGCCTTTTAAAAACAAAAAGCGTCTCTGAATAAAACTCTCCTGGAACAATAAATACTCTGGTGCTGCAGAGCTGGGGACCCTGCACCCACCTGCCCCATTTGCGATTGCCCTGTAGGATACCCCTGGGTTCAGAACCACCRCTTCAGGATGAGCCCAGTTCGGGATGAGCCCAGGTCTGAAATCTCTAGCTGGGGATGGTCCCAGCTTGGAACGCTTCTGCATCAGGACCTGGGATGCCTTGGGTCAGGATGCTCCCMTTTGGGAGCCTCTGGGTCAGGATACCCCCGTTTGGTTTTCTCCCTGGTCAGAAGCCCCTGGATTGGGAGCCCACAGGTTGGGATGCCCTGGTTTGGGAGCCCCTGATTTTGGGAAGTCCCAGTCTTGGCTGTCCCCAGTTTGGGATCCTCCAATTTGGAATCTCCACAGTTTGTGATGGCCCTGGGTTGGGATGGCCCAGTTTTGGGGTACCTGACTGTCTCCAGCTSGGGGATGCCCCGGACTGGGATAACGCACCCATGCATTACCTGACTGCCTCCAGTTGAATTGGGACCCCCAGACTGGCATGTCCCGGGTGGGAATGTCCCTGGGTCAGGATGTCCCAGGTGGGGATGTCCCTGGGTCGGGATGTCCCTGGTTTGGGATCCCCTGGTTCAGGCACCCTTGGGCTGGGACACCCCCAGTTGGGGAGCTCCCCCCTCAGTCCAAGGCCTGTTGTACAGCGGCCGGGGGGTGATGCCCCCCCAYCCATGGCTCAGAAGCTGGACTCGGGCACTGCCGAGGGTCGCAAGGGTCCGAGGGGCGGCCGGCCCCGCTGCAGAGTGGCCCCGGGGGGAACGCGGGTAGCCAGGGGTGGCCCCACCCCACCCCTGCCCAGCGAGGCAGATCTGCGCAGAGTCCCCTCGGGCCGGGGGGGGAGGCTGGCCGAGCTCCGCGACCGCCCCAGCGCCGACGGGCCGGGAGGGCAGTGGCCCGGGGGGACACCCGTGTCACCCTGCGGCACCGCGGGCCCGGGGCTGCCGGGGCTCGGGAGCGGCCGGCGCGGGGTCCCCTCGGCGCTGGCGGCCCGGCGGAGCCGTCGCGGGGCGCGGGAGGGGCCCGGCTCCCCCTGCCCAGAGGGTCTGGCGGGAGGGGTCCGGACACTGAGGCTGCGACCCTGCAGCCCCTGCAGCCCCCGCACCGCGGGCCGCGCCTCGAACCCGCCTGCGGGGGAACCACGGTCAGGGCGGGCGGGGGGCGCGGGGGGGACCGCGGGCCGAGCATCCCGAGCCTCACCGTTCTCCGGGGCGGCGGCGGAGCCCGAGGGCTCGGGGTCGGTGCGGGGCTCGGCGCGGGGCTCGGAGGCGGCCAGGCGGAAGAGCCAGTGCCCGGCGGAGCCTGCGGGGAGCGGCGGTGGTGGGCACCGAGCGGGGGGAGCCCAGCGCGGGGAGCGGGGGAGGAACGGCCGTGGGGTTGTAACGGGAGGGTGGAGGAGTGTGCACAGACATACAGGGGTGTGAGGGTGTGTGTGTGTGCACACGTATGGGGGCATTTACACCCGCAGATGTGCCGGTCCGTCTGCGTGTGCACACATGTGCAGGTGTCACATGTAGGTGTGTGCRAACAGGAGTACGTCACATGTAGGGGTGTGTGTGTGCACACGTGCAGAGGCATGTCGATACAAGGCTGTGCCCAGTGTGCCAGGGCCGTGCCAGGTGTGTCAGGGTGTGCAGGGATTCGGGGCTCACCCATGCTGGGTGTCGCGATTCGGGGCTCACCCGTGCCGGAGCCGGCGTGGCGGCGCTGGTAGAACAGGATGTAGGCGCTGCGGGTGCTCACCTCGGCCTCACGCACCCCTTCCACACGGCTGTCGTCGTAGCTGTACCAGCGCCCGTCCAGGGCATTGCAGCAGAACGCTGGGGGTGGGGGCGACGGGGTGAGGGGGAACGGGGGCTCTGTCCAGGGATACCCCCAGCCCCAGGATGCGGGGGGCAGCAGAAGCCCGAGGGTGCAGGGACACGCTGGAGGAGCAGGATGGTGCTGGGAGCACATCCCAGTGCCCTGGGGGGGGGCTGCAATGCCATCCTGCATGTCCCGGCTCCCTTCTGCCCTTCCCTGCCCCATGGCACACCGCTGCAGGGCCCTCAAACCCCACACCATGGCATTTTCTCCTGTGATGTTCCCCAAACCCCACACAGAGACCCTAGCCCTCTGCCATGCCCCATGAGACCCCCCTTCTCCCATGCTCCCCAGCCCCATGCTGTACCCGTGACACAGCTCCTGTAGTGCCTCCAAACCCCACACACAACCCTGTAGTGCCCCCAAACACCACTGGATGCCCCCAAAACCCACACACAACCCTGCAGTGCCCCCAAATCCCCTGCAATTCCCCACAGCCACACTCCTAAACCTCACAGTGTGCCCCACAGCACAGCTTTTGAGGTGCCCTCGCCCACCACACTTCACCCCATGGCACAGCACAGCATGTGCCCGATGCCCCAGCCCCACGGCACCCCCACGGCACCCCCTGACCCCAGTGTCCCCTCTCACCGGTGTAGTGGCCGCCCTGCATGCTGCCGTGGTGGTTGCAGACCGCGTACAGGTCGTACAGGTGGTCGCGGGGGCAGCCGGGGGGCAGGCGCAGGGGGGGCTGCCAGGGTGCCCAGCGCCCCAGGAGCTGTCCCCCGGGCTGGCCGCACTGTGCCACGTGCGGGGCCATGTCCAGCCCCCGCAGCGGGAACCGCACCAGCGTGGTCAGCTTGTGCCGCTGCTCGGCCACCTGCCGGAAGCGCTTCAGGTGGATGATGAGGATGTCAGGCAGCGTCCACAGGCTGAGCTTCACCGTGCCCTGCTGGGGCACCTTGCAGTGCGGGCAGCGCCAGGCGTCGTCCGGGGCCAGCTGGGGACACCGGTCACAGCCACCTCCTGCCCTGTCACCCGCTGCCACCTCCACAGCCA